GCCCCCCCGGTTGTTATGCCACTGCAACACACCTCCCACATCAGAATTTGCGGTAGGTGTGATTTTGCATGGTGCAGTGCATTTAACGTGTGAACGGGCCCTCAAAAACACTGACAGACACACACAACCACAGACACAATCTCACACACTCGTGCACGTATGGATGGAGCCCCACCCCATCCCACCTGAAGCTGACACTCGGCACCAGGCAGCATATTTTAAATGGCTAATTGGCATGAGAACTGACAGTGCTGTGCTGGGAGGAGGCAGAGAAGCCTCTCACCTAGAAAAGTGGAAGCCACGTGGCGACCCACTGAACACGGGGTCGCCACCCACTTTTGGGTCACGACCCATCAATTGAGAACCAAGGCTTAGAATAATGTATACATATGAGTGGACTAGTGGAATCAGGTTTGTACTAAAGTTTACAAGTAGAATTAGTTTTTTAACTAGGACTTTATACAATATTCAAATTGTAGTAATTATTTTATGAACCTGTATTGCTCACCCCCGAATGAGCCGCCAAAAAAACCCGGGTATTTCTGTCCCCAAGCCAAACTGGGTTCACAGCACACCAACACACCTTGGCGAGTTTTGTAACACCTTCACTACTAAGCAACTTTGCACAATTGGTGGCTGACTAAATACTTTTTTGCCCCACTGTATTTGTTAAGCATCGCATAAAGGAAACACAGTAATTGAAGAAAATAACATTCAGCAATATGCATTGGGTACACTCAGCAGCAACGGCTATCTGTATAGCGAAATATGCAGTACTGAACTATCTCATTTGCTATATATGACTTTGAATATTTGATTGCTAATGTCTCAGTCCCAATTAATCTCCAACTCTCTATACTACTGGCTAGTAGCAATAGTCTAGGCTAGCCATCATTGGCGCCCATACTGTGTTGCTGAAGTGAATTGCAGAAGTAACACAAATGGCCAAAGGCCTCACACCAATTCCAGAGTCAATCTTGTTGCTGTGATGTCCGTCAGTGAGAGACAGGTGTCCCCTTTCTCTCGAGCCAACACCTCTAGGCCTCCCGTGGATTACTAGGCCTCTATGGATCCCACTCTGTCCAGGTCTTGATATGCCCGCTGTGTGGGAGAGGTTGCGCCCCACAGAACGATCATCCAAATTACATAGATTGACACAAACTAGATGGAAGTCTCTTTATTTAGATGCTCTCCAATCTGCTCACACTCCCATAGACAGGATCTATGGCCCCTGTGTGTCAGCGGCAGCCACATAGATCTGTGTCCTTCTTCGGGTTCTACTGGACTGATCACGCTCAGCCACCCCAGCCCAGATCACCCCTCCTCGTCAAAGCACAGCCTCAACATTCTCACACAGCACTGCTTGTCCCAGGCTCTGCGCTGCAACTCCCACAAGTCTCTGTATCACGGGCTGCACAAAGTCAGCAACTTATATATATAGGGGCTACACACCCAAAAAATGCCTCCCCCCATGCACACACAAATTCAACTCCTATAACAATGATCCCTTCCTAATTTAAACCCAACAGTCTCATCTATCAGATAATACCTCCTCACCACTTTACCCACCAAGTTTTCTATTTAATAAACTTTATTTCAT